GTAGGGGGCCAGCCACAGCTTCTCTGGGCACCCTGTGCCAGCGCCTCAGCACCCTCACAGGGGAAGAACAACTGTCACATTACATCTTCATCAGTAACCTAGGAGATGGGGGATAGCGCCCGCGGCAAGATGCGGGTGGTCCTGGGCTGGGGGTGGTGACACGCTGGAGGGTCCTGCTGCTGTCCCGGGGACATGGGCAGGGTGGAGAAATGGGCAGAGAAACCTCCTGGAGTTCAACCAAGTCCTGCCCTTGGACAGGAACAGCCCCAGGCCCTGGTGCTGGCTGGGGAGCAGCTCTGGGGAGACCGTTCTGGCCGCCCAGGTGGGAAGGAACCTGAGCAAGCACCAGGCACGTGCCGCTGTGGCTTTTGGCCATCAGAGCCTGGGCTGCGCTGGGTAGAGCTCTGAGAGTGGCTCAGAAGAGGAGCTCCTGCCCCTCTGCGCAGCTCTGCTGAGACACCTCAGGGTGCTGCGTCTGGTGCTGGGCTCCCCGGTGTAGGAGGGGTGGGGACGTGCTGGAATAAGTCCAGTGCAGGGCCATGGTGATGGTGAAGGGGCTGGAGCATCCCTCGTATGAGGAGAGGCTGGGAGAGGTGGGATGCTCGGACTGCAGAGGAGATGCCTCGAGGATCTCATCTCTGTGTGTAAATCCCTCATGGAGAGAGTAAAGAGGATGGATCTGGGCTCCTCTAAGAGGAGGGTGAGCACCTTCTCCCCATGTCCCCCCACAGGGTTCAACGTGGAGACAGTGGAGTACAAGAACATTTGCTTCACTGTCTGGGACGTGGGTGGCCAGGACAAAATCCGGCCCCTCTGGAGGCACTACTTCCAGAACACACAGGTACGTGGGGCATGGGACGGGGTGAACGCGGATCAGCTTCCTCAGCTGTGGCAGGGCTGGTCTGGGATCCCTGGGGCCTGATCCTGCCTGCATGGGGGGTGAGTGGCAGCAGGGAATGAGGGAATGCATCCCAGTCCCTGCTGTGGTGACCCCACTGGGAGCACTGGGGTGGCACATGGGTGTTTGTCCCATTGCCCCGCCAGAGGGGAGCGAGGCAGAGGGGTCCACTGAGGTGCTGCCCCAGGGTGCGTGGGGTGTCTGGGGGCAGCAGAGCTGTCCTCCCCCTTGGTCAGCGGGTGCTTTCAGCCCACCTGGGATGTCCCCACCTTGCCCACACGAGCTGCCCGCTCCAGCCTGGTGTCTCCCACAGGGTCTCATCTTCGTGGTG